TTCACTTTCACAACCAACCTATTGTTAAATATGTTTATACTTGCGTGAGTTAAATATCATGTAATTTTATCTTTATGCAGTATTACTCTTTTGGATACAATAGTTTGGCTATATGCTTTTCCTGTTTTTCTTCAGTTACTATATGCTCTATGCATTTGATCCACGATCAGATCCCAGTTCGAAAATTCATTGGACTGAAATAATGACTATCACCATTGTAACCACCATGCTTTTTGAAGAAATCCGACGAGTGAGAACCTTACATTATATTCATAGAGCATATAATCGAAAACTGGTTTATTTATTAGTTCTACTCCCAAGAAAATCGAACTTGGAAGGGCAAGATTTTGAATTATTTTCACATATATAATCGATTATCGAATCTTTGTCTGGTTCTTCCATCGTTTATTTTATTCTATGTTGGGCTTGTGTTACGTTTTGTGCTAACAGATATAACCAATTTTTCAGCAGCGAGGTAGACAATAGAATTGTGTTAGCGTTCAGTGAACGTTGTTGTGTGTTTACAGAGTAATAATGGCTTACGATCTGGAACTGTGGTTTATTCGAGCAGTTCTCTTTGTTGGCGTTGTTTCAAGTCTAGGTCCAAAACTAGCGATGATTCGAAAAATGGTAGATAATTTGTGTCATAATGATCTGTGTATTATGTTTTTCTTGTTGCAGACAAACGATCTATTGCTATTTATCATCATAATTGTTATTTTCATTTTCGGTTATGGAATAACATCAAGATCTATGACAGCCTATGGCACTTTCAATCTTGACGGACGACAATTTTTTCGTAGTGTAGTCTATCCAGTTTATTATTTTGTCTTGGGAAAATTTGATGATGAACTTTCACAATTAGATAGTATGAGAAAAACACGAAAAAAACAGTATTTTTATACGTATGTATGCTTTTATAAGTCACACCGGATGCCAGTACTACCATAGCCACTCAAATCATGTTTGCATTTCATATGCTTTTTGTCAATATACTGTTGTTAAACTTGCTTATTGCCTTATTCAGGTATATAAAAATGAGTCAATTAAATTAGACAATGATGAGTATCACTAATATTATAGTAATACAATAAACGACGTTCAAACACAAGCATATCACATTTGGGCTTATGACCGCTGTGCTTTTATCCGTGATTTTTATTTTCAACCAGCATTGTTTCCGCCATTTAGATTTTTGATCTGGATGGTCGAATTTTGTTCATGGTGCTGGCAAAAATGCAAAAATGATCATAAAAATTCAAAATGTTTCAGTTCGTAGCGCATTCACATTATTTCATTGAATATCAAAATATTAGAATAATAGTTATATAATGGAAACTAAACAGATTCATTTGATTCTATCTTCTTTAGAAATGATTCCGGAAATTTCTAATCTCGATAATAAATGGTCAGAATTCGAACGATTTTCAACGAATGACTACATTCGATATTTGCTCGATTCACAAATCTGTAAAGCTACGAATACAATAACGACTGATATTTCGTAAGTAAATCTGATTGACTGTCCAGATATTCTAATGATTCTTTCGTTATTACTTCATATCTAAATACTCAGATTCTAATCAATTAGAATAAAATCTTCAACCAAAACATATACACCAAAAGGATCGCTTTGACGAATCCAAAATAGACGAATACGTGCACGAAAATTGAAAGCAAAGAGTTGAATCCCTAAAAAAAACAATATTGAATGAAATATTCATTAGACAACTGGTTTTCTTATTTCTCTGATAAATGAGATATCTGAAGGCTTGTTAGATTACTGACATAAAGAGTTCAAGAGTTGCTTCGATTTGCATTTTTGTGAGATGTGTCTAGAAATTCATCATATCTATTTTTACCATTGAAGAGAATGAAACATCCAACTCACAGAATTGTGAAAGAAGATCTCTATTACGACCTAACATTTCTTTTCTGTTTCACTGATCTTTTTAGGTCTGAACTATCATCGACTAGTACTAATGAATCGAATTCCTTCAAATCTGACATACTTAATTTAAAAAACGAACTCAAATGTTCACAAAACGATAACAATGAGAAGCTATCGTCGATGGAGTCGACTGTGTCCAATCTGCGAGATCAAGTGAAACAGATCAGTACTCACATTGACGAAATAATGGAAAAAATGGCGTCAGTAAGTATATACATAGATCCCTTGTGTCGTAATACCACTATTTTATTTTTATTTAGTTTAGCAATTCGCTCGACAAGATAGTCAATGCTATGGGACTTAGCAAAACAGAGAAAGAGTCTATCGCATCTCAATCCACACAAAGTAAGTCTAACTTGTGCTTATGAATTAAACAACATTAATTTATCCAAAAGATTTCATGAAGTCATATAATAAACGAGCCAAATGTACATTTAGAAAAAACGCCTAAAGGCGATATCATTGGCGATACTCAAGTAATTTCTTAGCAGCCATGAGTAATCCATTCTATTAAATAGATTTCTCTGAACCAACTCAATCACAACTTTTCACGATAATAGAAACAAATAGAACTCATACATTCATGAGACTCTGTTATTTTGATGTAAATTCTTAACTTAATATATTTATTAATTTTCCTTTTTTAGACGCTTCTGCACCTAATCAATTGCAGTCAAAGCTGCCGAACCATAATCAACGACCTCTGCGAAATACTGTTACAAAGATGTCTAATAGTGCACAGCTGCGAAGCAAACCAGAAGACATAACAACAACTAACATTGATATAGAAACACTAAACATCTGATAATGCTACCAATATTTGAACTCATTTTCAGAATTATTTCGTATTCTCTTAAAACTTTATCATCGCTTGTCTCGTTTATTTCTTTAAAATTCCTGATGAAGATGACTTTCCATGTAAAAAAGTGAATCAAAAACATTTTTAAGTAAATTTAATATTCGGGTGTGGCTGTGGGTGTGGCTGTGGGTGTGGCTGTGGGTGTGGCTGTGGGTGTGGGTGTGAGGGTGTGGGGTGTGGGTGTGGGTGTGGGGTGTGGGTGTGGGTGTCATGTAAGAGAACCCACACCATCTTATTGAAGTAGTTATAGAAGAAATTAAGATTAATTTATAAATTGAATGTTTACTAGGGACGATGTCTATCATGCTAAACAGAAGAATTGTTCCGAACTTACGCAGAGATTCCAGTACCGCTTATTAACGATATTTCTTTGTCAAGAAGATGCTGAAGATGGCCAGGTGAGCAAAGGACGATTAAAAGGATTGGTCATGACGCTACGTTTTGTTTAATCTTTTTGTCAAAAAGTTTTAGTACATTGTCAATCCGGAATTATTTGCCGGTTGTAGCTCATACAACCAACATCCTTCATTCCGTTTGTTATGTCTAGTCTTTTTTGAGAAAATGACTAGCCATAGGATACCGTAATGATGCCTATTCGAAAGGAGTGTTTTAAATAAAAAACGGTTCGATTGAATTATGCACACAATATATGATTTACCAGTTGTCTATTTCATTGAACTATAAGATTAAGTGATCAATTTCAACATGTTATTAAGCATTCGAATAGTGCGATTTAATAGAATTTTAACCAGGATTTTTTAAATTTCACCATAAATAAAAATTTGCATGATGGAACAAAAAAAAATGAATTGTATAATGTTAAATGGGGCTAATTTAAAACTTTATTCTTCATCGCTGTCATTTAGGACAATGATTTTATATTGAATAAAATCATACCTGTCAAATCATGTTTGGAGTTTATTTTAACGGTAAACGTTTCCAACTACTTTTAGGCTAAATTATTTTCAGATTTGCTTTATAGTCTAATAAATTTTAAAAAACATCAAAAGGCAATGTTTCTTTGGGAAGTAATCAGAACACTTTTTATTTTCTTGAATATACTTGTGCTTCAATATCACATTTTACTTATATCATAAAAACAAGTTCAAATCTTTACTCCTCAAAGAAGTGCTTCATGAACCTTATGATATGAAATAAACAAAATTACGAAGTTGTCCATCGAATATGATGAAATATGAGGGGGAAAAATATGAATTCATTAAATATGTTAACGGCGGTGTGGGTGTGGGTGTGGGTCTTTTCTTCAATGACACTCACACCCTCTATTATCCCTGTAGTCAAGGCTCTTTTTATTATCAAGAGATGGGGAATGTCATAATATCGGGAACACGGGTATCGAAATTTTGAAACATCCATATATTCTTCAAAAGTGAGGATTTTGAGTGAATTTGGTGTAACGAGATGGATACCAAAAATGGATATTTTGTCCTTCAAAGTTGAGACTGTTGAGTGAATTTGGTGTGAGTAGATGGATGCGAAAGTGAATGCTCAGATAATGTGAGGGTCAGTGTCTGATTGGAGCACTGTTCGGTTAACTGTTATCGTCATGCTCAACCCAAGTCTCGGCCGTCGGATAAAGTCATGTCTTGCGGCGAAGTGCGCAGTAGCAGCCACACTCACCAATTACAGCCATGGTACGTCGTCACAGTAAATATATTTTTACCAGAAAAAATAGCTGGAGAGTGAATCAAGCCACACTTTGAAAGGAGCTTACGAAATGGAAAACCCACTGGAAAATGTGGATACAGTCTGAAGCGGTACACATAGCTGCACTGACTCCGTCACGGTGGTCCACATTGCCATCCTGACCAACATTGGCAGTCACACTGGTAGATGCACTCTCATTCACCTAGCGTCGACCTACACGTTGTCATCCACAGTCTCAGCCACACTAACATCGATCTCCTCATGTCTAGCCGCATTGACTCATACATTGGCACCCTCACCCAAATCAACATCACTGCCCACAGCTATACCAACATCAGCTGCCTCACTTTCACTCTCACCCTCACCGACATCATCATGAACACCCACACAGACGTCAACACCCTTACCCGCAGGGGTGTGGGTGTGGGGTGTGGGGTGTGGGTGTGGATGTGGGTGTGGGTGAAGATATCTTCTCCGACACTTACACCAACACCCACCCACACCCACACCCTTGTTTTGATATTATTCCCATTGATTGGTTCCTTTATCTATAAAATATCCACTACGATAATGATAACGATAAGGTGCATCCCAATAGCCATTCATATTTTGAGCAATTAAAAAGATTTCATTTGGTTTTTCAGCACGAGACCAATAAATATCGGTACTATCTTTATAAAAATAAACGAACATATTTCTTGTTGAATCAAAAATTTTAACACAAGCTGGAATACATTTTTTCGAGCTTAATTTAACTTGTACTGTATCAATACATCTTAATTGATTTATTTTTGCATCATTTATAATATTTTGAACAATATAACCACTATATGGATAGAATAAAACTTCTTGTTCTTCTTAATAGATAGAATATTTTGAAATATCACTACGATATGTCCAATCATGCTTTGATGCATCGATTTCAAATATATAATCATCAAAATGATATGCTACATCTCTATTTCTTGATGTACATGTAAATGTTGGCCATAAAAATTGAAAAACCTACTTTATATTCTTGTTTTACATGTCCAAGATCAATAGATAATCCACGATAAATTTAAGAAATTCGTTTTCATTATTATTTTTAATTGCCATTCTTAAACTATTGATAAATCGTACATTTTCTTTCAATACTTTCAAATCATCATTAAGAAGAGCTTTATTAATTATATTGTAATATTGTTCATCTTCTTCACTCCATTTAGAAAAAACTTCATTTTCTGGATCACATATGCTATTTATTGTGATTATTTCACGATAACATGGACGACGGAATGTTGGTAAAAGAGAGCGTGATGTTGTACAAGAAAATTTTTCGACATTACGTCTTGATGTTGTCATACTGGAATACTTTGAATTGATTGTATTATGCAAAAGATGATATCAATATGTATTCGTTAAAGACAACCTTTTGATTTCAGACTTTCTAGTATAAAATTCAAAAATATTGAAAAAGTAACTATTCAAACATGAAAAATCAACTCTCTTGATATATAGAACTATGAGTGTAAGCCGATGTATTGATTGGCGATGGTATCGACAATTTTTGATAACTCTGAAAATTTTCTTCCCTTCGAGAGATTTTGACATGGAATCGGTATTTGTGAAGACACGCCAACTCACTATAAACTATGTTCGACTCGAAGAGATTATCAGTTGGAAAAAATTTAACTTCTTCATTCATGTTTTTTAAAAATTCTTTGATAAAATTATAAGATGTCCTTTTGATGGATCTACTTCAGGCTACTCCAAGGCACTCTAATTCAAACTTGGAGTGGAATGGAGCGGCTGAGAGTGAGTCCATTGAAGTAATATTTGATTCTTTTATCAAAGAGTTTTTAAAGAAAATAGGTTGATATGGTGTCTCACGATTAGAGAAATAAAATCTCTAACGATTAAGCGATCTCTTCGAATTAAACGATGTTTAGAACGAAATGAACTGCAGCGCATGCTAATAATATCTAAATGGAATTGACAGAAAAACTTGTCGTTGCGGCTTCTTGCGGAGCTAATGTGTGGAACTCACAAACTCTGATTTTTATAAATTTATGATATATTGTCAGATTTTTTAAAATAATTTATTTTTAAAAATATCAAATACATGAATAAATCAAAATTCTAACAATGTTTTTAGTCGATGCGCGCTCTCTAAAGTTTTATCATTTCAAAATATTCATACTTCTAATTGCTTATCTAACAATTTGATTTATTTAAAATCGTTATACTATAAAACCTTTGTTCCCTCTACTGAAAGGAGGCTAATGCGCTGAGCAGCTACAACGACCAAATGTTCGTTCGTGTGTTCGTCGTAGAGAACGAAAAGAATGTTCTTTTGACCCATCACATTATATTTTCTTGTAAATCTAGCAACTATCATAAATGATATTGGGGGTTGTCTCGCAACCAATCAGATTTCGAGTATCGGAGATCAAGCCAATGAAACGTTTTCTGGCTCCGGTCTTAAACCAATCAGATTTCGAGCACTGAAAATCAAGCCAGAGAGATGTTTTCTGGGCTCGTCTTTCAACCAATGAGATTTTGGGGGTCGAAAATCAAGCCAATGAGACGTTTTCTGGGTCCGACCTTCAACCAATCAGATTTCGAGTATTGAAAATCAAGTCAATGAGATGTTTCCTGAGCTTGTCTCTCAACCAATGAGACTTTGAGGGTCGAAAATCAAGCCAATGAGATGTTTTCTGTGTCCGACCTTCAACCAGTCAGATTTCGAGTATTAAAAATCAAGCCAATGAAATGCTGTCTCAGTCCGGCCTTCAACCAATCAGATTTCAAGTATTGAAAATCAAGCCAATGAGATGTTTTCTGACGTCGTCTCTCAATCAATGAGATTTTGAAGGTTGGAATTCGAGCCAATGAGGTATTTTCTGGGTCCGACCTTCAACCAATCAGATTTCGAGTGTTGAAAATCAAGCCAATGAGATGTTTTCTGACGCCGTCTCTCAACCAATGAGATTTTGAGGGTCGAAAATCAAGCCAATGAGATGTTTTCTGGGTCCGACCTTCAATCAATCAGATTTCGAGTATTAAAAATTAAGCCAATGAGATGTTGTCTGTGCTGGTCTCTCAACCAGTGAGATTTTGAGGATGAAAAATCGAGCCAATGAGATGTTTTCTGCATTCGGCTCGCGGCCGAAGAGACTGCGACAGTTGAAAATGAAGCGGATAAGATGTTTTCTGGGTCTGGCCCTCAACCAACGTGACTGCGACGGTTGAAAACTAAGCTAGTCATATGTTTCTATGGTTTAGCTGTTAAGCGATATGTATGTTAGGGATGGGAATTCAGGGAATCGGATTTTTCTGCAGTGTGAGTCTCAGGCAGTTTTTTTTAGGGTCTGGGATCACAGCAAATGTGATGTTTTGTCAACTTAGATTGGAGCCAATAAAATACTGAGGCAGCGGCTTTAGGTATTCAGCCGTTCTTTAAGTGTAGATGCGAGTCAATAAGTTATCTAGAGTTAAGAATTCAGTCGATGGGATGTTTCTTTGGCTTACAGCTCAGCCAAGAAGTTTTTAGGGGTTGCGAATTTTTTTTTGGATATTTCCTCGGTCTAGTGTTAGCGAATTTTTTCGAAAATATTTAACAACGGATAAACATATTTTCTGACGTTGAAAATGTTAGGCTGAGCATTCTGTCTGTGTAAATATTAGTCGAAAATACACAGGGTTTTGTCTTTGATGGACATCTCAAAGCCAGTCTCTGAAATACTCAAACCATCTGAAAAAGCATCTGATAGCATGGACGATCTTAATTTTAGCATGGCATTTGTTATGCTACAACTCTTTTCTTATACGAGTTTTCTTTCACTCTGCGAAAGAAACATCAGTGCAGCAATACTCATCAGAAAAATGGACAAATCACTAGTGGTGTTAGCCTTGCACTCCTGATTTCAAGAATCCTAGAAATTGATGTCCGATATCAAAGTTGAATTATTGACAATTTGATAGAGCATATTCGGATGCTTACACTTAGGTTGTTTTTGCGCAATAGAAACATTGAGAGCTGAGTTAGGAAAGCATGGAATTTCTTTTAGTTCAGAAAACGCTATAGCCTTCGAACTACAGAATGAATTGTTATACCGTTTCCTTATAATACGTTTGATGAGTCTGGAAATCACGCGCAATCGATTTTCCAGAATGTTCTTTCAGATAGGCTATGTCTCTATTTCAAAAACTTGGAATCGATTTTTTGGTTCGTCCACAACCCACGATTTGAAACCGAGATAACCGTGGTGGACTTAATTTTGAAACCTTCAGGCTATCGGACACTATTCAATGTATAATTATATAATACCTGTGAAGTCGTGTAGGTTGTTTGTGAGTGACATAACTATTTATTACATCCTGAATCAATTTGACCTCAACACAAATTTGCTAAGGAAGAATAAGGAAGGTACGGAGAATCATATGTGATAAGTTAGAGCAGCAATATAGTGTGTGATATGCTCCAGTATCACTCATTTAAATATTTAAAGCAGTGTTATCTTCAATATTGTAAACACTAAAACAAATACATGAACTTTGAAATGATTATACTGTATTAACATCTTCTCTACGATTTGATTTGAGTTATATCGAGATCTGATTCAACTCAACACCTAATGGTGATGAAAAAAATGATAGTAGAAGGGACATTAGTGTGAGATGGTGATACACTTTATTTCCTCCCTTCACATCATTTAGTTGTCTTGTGACGATTGATAATAGAAGTGATGTTATTGTTGATGATATTATACTTTATTCTATTTCTTCAGTGACTACTATTATATAATTGATTTGAAGAAGCATTAACGAAATGACCGGTGAACATTAGATAAAATATCCAAGTCAATGATTTCGGAGAGCGGATATTGCAGAAACTGGTGGGAAAATGCAGAAAAATCGCGGAAACTGGAAGCAATATTTCAATCGAAAATTTTTGAATTTTTCTACGATAATTTTCACTTAGATCCTGCTGAACAGCATTGGAAGTTAGTCCGAATTCACCCGAAAAAAGCCCAAACTTTCTGATGGAAATACTGCTTTCTTGTTCCAGCTATATCCCGTGTTTTCTTGCCGGCATTCACTCATGCCTCTTGAGTCAGACAGACGGATGAAAGTTGAAACTTCATGACTGGTACTATTCTTTTTTCCTCTATCATGCCATTCTCCTTTCAGTAGAGGGCTTAGCGACGATTGCGTCGCGTTACTTGTTGTATTATCAGATACATCTTCAATCTATAGTGTCTTTTCCTCTATTGATAATATATCTACGATACATCCCATAAAAACCCGTAAATATAGTTTTACTGCTTGTGTCGTCGATTCCACTATCATATTAGCCTGCTATATACATTGATTTTATTGCTCCGTAAGCTATCCCACACATTATCGTTTCTCTCAACGATTTTTGACATATACTGCTGAGTTTTGCCTAAAGTTGAAATTCAATTAGTTCAGACTTTTCTAAATTCATTCAATTCTGACTCTTTTAGATCAAAAAAACTCCCATCCTATAGATTCGCCGTGTTCTGTTGCTATGGAACAATAATTAAAGGACAAATTATTAAAGATTATATGTTTTATGAACGAGAATAATCATCAAATGAAATAATCATATTCATTTTAAAATAAAATAAAAACAAGAGTGCGTCTAATTCCAGTAAGTATAAGGAGTCATGACTGGTTTTGACCTTGCTTAAGGATCTCATCAGATGGCATATTCTTAATGTAGGTATACATTTTAACATTGTATCTCCTCTATTTTATAGGGGTTGATTTGCAGTTTCATCGTCAATTATGATGATGAATTCAAATAATGTCGTCTGATGAGATCTTTAAGCAAGATCGAAATCGATCATGACTGCTTATTCAAATGAATTCTCAAACAGTCAAAACAACCATTTGATAATCAAAATTAGAATAAATCTTGAAAGGTTGAATTGGACAAAGCGACAATCCATAGTTGATGCTGCATTAATATAAATAGTAACCAATCGATCATTATCATGCCGATTATATAGCCAAAAGCTTACAACATAGGAACGTCCGTTAATCGTATTGATCACTCGAGAAATATTTACACTAGATAACTGTGTCGAAACACTACAGGAGTAGTTTCCACGATTTACAATTGATCCATTCAAAACACTGGCTACCAATGCTGAACCACAAACACAACATTCATTTAATGTGCCATCTTCAAAACTACCGTTTTCAATGACTGTTCTGTTGATCAATATATCAATTGCCGACAAATCATCTAAATACCATTCTGAACCACTTTGAAATTCAAAAACTAATGAATTCTTGCTCGACTTTCCCTTGTACGTATATGAATAGAATCTATATCGATTCGCTGGAGTGGATATTTTGCCTAGTTTAATGTAATTATTATTATTCTTTTGGCCTTTGATCGAGCATGAATTCAATCCTGAAATAGAGACATTAAAGAGGAAATGTCAATTGATTGTATACAATGTGGGATAAATGAATAGTCCACACATATTGTAAGTTCTCACTTTGGAATCAAACTATTTAATCGGTTTTTTTTGCTTATCATGTTTACATTTTGTAGTATTCGTTTGAGAAAAAATTGAAAACCGACATATACTGCTTGGCTTCTGTACTTTACGACTAAAACGACTATATTGTAATGTGCTATTATTTTTCAATTTATGATAGAAGTATGAATGAAAGCTACCTAAAAAGTTACGCCAGAGTATTAGACTTAAATGTCGAGACATAGTCATCGGTAATTTGTTTAATATTCTATGGTACAATCGAGTAAGACAAAGATTATACCGATGATATATATAAAATATAATTTAGTTTTGATTACATACCCATAACTCCTGTTATGCCATTACAATAGGTGGAATTTTTCACTTTCATGGAATATACTATTAATGGGATGAATATGACGAGGAAGACAAAGATCACCCAAAACGAACACTTGCAGATGAATGATGAATCTTTTCTGCAACAACGATAGCAATTTTTACAGCATTCTAAACGGGAATCACACAGGCCAGAACATTTGTCTTTTATACTTCTTTCATGTCAAAAGTTGCGTCTTGGTATAGGATTATAAGATTGTATTGGTAGAAATCGATGATTTGGTACAATAGGTGTCGGTAATGGAATATTTTGTTCTATTGTAGAAATTCTTGATAGTTCATGATTAATATCTGAAGTAGAATTATTTTTTCGTCTTAGTCGTCTCCGTCTTCTTCGTTCCTGCGAGCTGAGTAGTAGTAGTGGCTTTCTTAAATTGAATGGTTTACCTGCATAATGACGAGTTATAGCTTCACATATTGCTTCATCTTTACGTATATCCGCGAGACGAAAAGGTTCTCTTATTAATAGACTTGTTCCTTTTTCTCTAATCCATCGTATGATTTCAGTACGTTCATAAATATGTCCATTACCAGCAATTACAGGATCATGAAAGCGTTCAAATGTAATTGAACAGACTAATTCATCTGCTGATACATCCTCTATTCGTTTGAGAACAGTTTTAATCGTGTCAATATCAGTGTTTGTCATTCGTTCACTATTATAGAGCGTGTGACGTAATGATGACTTTGTTTCACTTTGCTACCAAGATGGATGTATTGTTTTTTTTGGACGTTTAGAAAAATGCCTAAACTATTGTATGATCTATATAAATCTGATTTCTAATGGTAATGTTTATTCAACGAGAGAACAGCAAAGCAACGTGCTACGCATGGTTTTTTTCCTTTCTGTCGTCATGACTGGTGTTTTGAGTCCATTTAAATTTATAGTCAATGACAAAAAAATATTCTTTCAAACATACGTGTGACTCATAAATTCAACGGGGCTACCCCGTGCAAAATGCAAATTGTATGCAAGTTTCGTTTTCTTCCTGCTTTCTTGTTTCATACGTATGTATTAGCATACAAAATTGTCGTACATGACTTTGGTAAAGTTATTACAATAATTCGAATGAATAGATCATAGTGAATTTTTATAACTTTATATAATAGGATATATATGTAGAACAGTGTTGTCGTAATCTTTTATGCATGTAAAAAAAATGCTTTGTCATTATGAATATAAGGTAGAGTGGTATTGAAATGATAATTGTTACATCGGGTGAGTTTATGAATGTACAATTTATTAGATTTAAGATCTTTATTTTTACCAATCTTAAGTGAAAAATTTGTTCAAACGCGTTGAAATACCTAAAAAAAAAACAATTATTGTTGGATGTAATAAAAGTTTTTTCTACTACTATTTCTGCTTTTAAATACGTTTCTCTTTTTGAACGTAAAAATACGCGTAAATCTAGAACATTGTTACGTGTTTTAATGCGTTTTTTGAGAAACCTTATCTGGCTGAATATTCACTGTGTCCATTTTATTCACTTTCTTTTGTGCTTGTATGAAGACATAAGTCAAGAAAAAAAAAACAGAGATCTTTGTCCTAGTTTTTTTTATATCGAAGCAAAAGACACGAGATAATTTATCTTAAGTTTTATGCTGATTAAACGTTTCAAAATGATTTCTTTGATATTATTGTGATCATTTTCTAATGAAATCTCACTCAAATAGAAATAAAATTATACGTAAACGGATGATTTACTTTATCATTGTGAGTATTAAATTAATTTTTTGTTTACAATCATAATGAATAATGCAAAAAATCTAACGACATATTCGGCCTACATGAATAAATCAAAATTGCACTATCATCGTCTCATGATGCATGGAGTATTAATGGCAAATTAAGAATAAGCAGCCATGACCAGCTCCGTCCTTGATTAAGGGACTCATCAGATGGCATTATTCAAATTCATCATCATCATAAGATGACGATGAATTGAATAATGTTATCTGATGAGACCCTTAAGCAAGGTTGAAACTGGTCACAGCTGCTTATTCTTTATGTAAAACAAGAAGAGTGAACGGTTTTTTTATCCATAACGAAATCTATGATCAATTTATAAATAAATAATAAAAAAAATCGAGAACGATTTTTATAAATGCAACACTTTCTATCTTCGATTACTTTTAATTTGCAGTTCAATATTACTATTAGAATGTAACGGCTGGAATAAACATAATTACATAGAAATGTTGATTTAATTGTTTAATATGCTAACAAAACTATTTCCAATTGTTCTTCCTTTTTCTTTTAATTTGGGTGTGGATGTGGGTATGAATGAAAAGAAGATTAACATCCACACCCAAAGCAGACACATGAGACTTCAATAGAAATCTTTGTCTATCATTATATGCTTCCTCTAATATTGTATCATTTCTTACTAGAGAAATTTTGAGCCATCAAATTTGTTTTTGATTGTTACTAACTCATAACTTATTGCTATTTGGAATTTTAATGGCAATGATCCATTATATAGATCTCGTCGTCATCAACTTTGCTGATGCAACCGTTAGGGTACTTCTAAATAATATCACTCGAAACTTTAACTAAGAAAGCAGGATGGTTGTGAATATGCTCGCCAATCTACATCCACCCTACAAAAAATTAGTATGTTACCGAACCTCTGTACCCAACTGAAGAATTTTTTTAGGTTAAGTAAGATCTTGCTGAAAAGGGCTCTTAACTTGGATACAGGTTGGATGGAATATCAATTTTATTATTAAAGAAAAATCTGTATGAGCGGCACTCAATTTTTTTGTATTATAATCATAATGTAAATATATTTTTCAATTGTTTCGATTGATCGAAAATATGTGCAAAAGCGAGTGACTGCAACAGAGAGAGATTATGATAAGAAAAAGAGAAAAAAAAACATACAGCGTAGAACAATGGAAGAAAAGTTATAGATGATTCATATTTTTTTCTTATGGTTAAGGCAATAGAGATGTTCTTGTTGTCTCCTCTCCTTTCTTTCTGTTCTTCTTGCTTGTGTTGTTCGCCGGTTGGTAGAAGGTTTTTTTTGTTTTGTCATGCAGACTCTAGTCAGTATAAATGCGAGTATACGGGAGTATAGCGTATTTTATCTGATAAACAAGTAAATATCACAGTAAAAATATTCTTTTAGATTTTTGCTTTGACTTTTCACGCATATTTCGTGTAAAGCAAAAACTATGACATTGCTGCCGACTCGACAATTAGGCAAGAACGGACCCTACGTATCAGCCATCGGTTTTGGAGCAATGGGTCTCTCGGTAGCCTATGGAAGCATTGCTCCCGATGAAGAACGATTCAAAGTTCTCGATCGAGCGATTGAACTTGGCAGTACCTACATTGACAGTGCAGATGCCTATGGTGATAGCGAAGAACTGCTCGGAAAATATTTCAAGAAATATCCCCATCAACGTGAAAAGGTGAGTCATGTCGTACTATTGATAAACCCATGGAAATCTATTCCATTCAATAAAAGATCTTGATCGATGTCACCACTGCTCACGTTCGGTATCAATCTTAGAATAGTTTTTTTTAACTTTTAAATTAGTTTAATGTTGCTCTGTTTGACCTTTTCGGAATTGTACGTTAACGGAGGTAGATTGATCGCCCTTCAATAATCGAAAATTAACGCTGAAGACAGGTGTTTACCAATACTTGAAGAGTGGAGTCACTTTCTTAAGCGAAACTGAAAGTTAAACAACTCTTTTTTGACAAGCATATTCTAATCAATGGTCAAAATTCTTTTGTTGTACAAAGATTCAACAACTCCATATCGAATCAACTTTAAAAATCTTCAGATATCCATGCTAAAGCTTCAATCCATTAAATCCATGAGGAGAATGCCATTTCGATGTTTCTAATAAACGATTCATTGAAAGTTTCGACATTTTAGTCAAAGTTCTCTGTTTCGTTGTCGAAACAACAATATTTTCTCCAAAAAGACATAGATACTTTCAGCCTAGATTGATTATGATAGACTAAAAAAAAATATTACACTAGTTCTAACGTAAAAATGTTTCGTTCTGTCATTTCTACTATGTCAGAATAATTACATTTTTCTCAGAGAATACTGTAGTCATCTCTAGAAATTTTCATATAGAGTACGTTCTCAATACGCGAATCCTGTAAAATTTTGATAATGAAAAGGTCTCTTATATATTAAGCGAAAAAATATTCATCATCGATCCTAATACTGATCTCTTCAGAATGGTATGCTGAATTGTTTGAAACTTCATCAAAACTGGATTTGAAATTTTCCTCTTCTTGATAAATGCATTTTTCATCTGCGAAAGAGATGCTTTTCTTCACGAACATTCGAAGTGTGGAATCAATTTCAGAATTATTCTTGATATCGATTCTAAATGCAGAAAAATGAGATGAAACGAATATAACAGAAAATTTTGAACATAAATTATTTTTAATGATTCATAGGTATTTTTGGCCACCAAATTTGCCAGTTTTTTGCATCCTGATGGTACGCGTTCCATCCGAGGTGATGCCCAATATGTTCGAGACGCGAATGCAAAAAGTCTGCAACGTCTCGGCCTAGAATCCGTCGATCTATATTATGTACATCGGATTGATAAGAATGTTCCGATTGAAGAGACTATGGGGGCATTGAAAGAACTTGTCCAAGCGGGCAAAGTCAAATACATTGGTTTGTCTGAATGTTCGAGTGATACACTTCGACGTGCTCATGCTGTTCATCCGATTTCGGCTGTACAAATTGAATATTCACCATTTAGTTTGGAAATCGAGCATGAAGAAATTGGTCTTTTGAAAACCTGTCGAGAACTCGGTGTAGCGATAGTTTGTTATTCGCCGTTGGGTCGTGGTATCCTTACTGGACAAATCAAGAGTCCTAACGATCTTGAACAGAACGATTTTCGAAGACGCATGCCGCGCTTCTCCAAGGAAAACTTTGACAAAAATCTTCAGTTAGTCGACACATTGACATCACTAGCCAAGAAGAAAGGTTGCACAACAGGTCAATTGACACTCGCCTGGATTCTTGCCCAAGGTGATGATTTCATTCCAATTCCAGGCACAACCAAAATCAAGAATTTGGAGGAGAATGTTGCCGCTGCATATATTCAATTGAGCAAGGATGAAATCGATGAAATTCGACAAGCCTGTGAGAAAGCTGATGTAGCCGGTGAACGATATCCGAAAGAAATGTCTGCCAGTCTCTTTGGTGATTCGGCACCGAAAAAGAACTAGATTGATCAACTTCATTTTATCAATTCAAATCAAGGTTTATACAATAAAATTAGTGTTCAAAACTTTTCTGTAGAATATCTTTCGATGAATTGCCATTTTCTACTGATTATTGTAAAAAATAAAAAGAATTAAAAAATCGGAAAAAATCCAATGATTCAAAATTCACCTTTTTTCTGTGTCTTTCTTGCTGTCTTTTTCAACAGAGACCGACAAACATCTCTGGTGGCATTTTCTTACCTGTCTTTTGAACAGATCCTAACAGTTCGTAGTGTCTTTCAACAAAAGATGTGTTCCTATAGTGTTGTCGATCATGCTTCATATTTTTATTCAGCAGATATTACCACGGAAGCTTCTGAATGAAGAATATAGTTGTAAATGAAGGTTTACATCACATCAGCCGCAAAATACGCCTGAAATGCAAGAACAGCATTGCCACATGTTTCTCAAGATCTGTGATGAAAATTAAAATATTATATCACACGCGAAATAGTCGGATTTTTGGTCTTCTGAATTTGAAATCCATTCAAAATGTACTTAATCCAAAAAGCTTTTCGAATGAAAAAGTTCATCTAAGTTATCGATTAGTTCATTGTAATCGAAATCGAAGTCACTCTCGCTCTGTCATCACTAGTATATGAATAACAGAACTTGTCATCAATTTCATTATTTTCATAGAATTCAATTTGCTTAGTTTTAATTGAGGAACCTTCCTAAGACAAGCATGTATTTTGATGTGTATGAATCTTCTTCTCATCCACAAATATTCATACCCGCCTCTGAATGGTAGAAAGAGTGCCTATAACATGTTTAGAATTTATGCAGGTTCTGAAAGGTATCACATTAGAAATAATATGACGCATTAGTTTGCTTTTTTTTATTTTGCTATAATGAAAAGTATAGACAATTCCATCTACTGACATATATAAATAATTATTTTTGATAGGTGAGTATGATGTATAGATATGTTAATACTGTTATTTGTGCCCAATAAAGGATTCGTTTATATCGGTTTCACTAGGAAAAAAATGATACGGATACATCAAAAGAAAAGACCATAACAGCGAAAACGTTTGTTTTTCTCATTTTTTCTGACCTAAACAAGAGACATTCGAATGTATTGTTTCACACGATGAAAGAATTGAAATATACAAAAAAGAAAATTAAAAAAAAATTTCTTCCACTTCATCTTTGTTATTGTCAATCCAGTGTGCGGGTGTGGGTCTGTCTTCTTATCAAGAACACCCATACCCAATTTCTCTGCAAATAGAATGAAAACGCTAGTTCTCTTAGAAGATATTACACTATCACATGATGACTAAGGAAGATTACTTTTCAATTTGTCTTAGGAAAGTTAAAGTGTTGAGGAATCGGTTGCTAGTATGGAATTGCGCTTTTTTATGATTGTTGAAACGAGCTATAAGAATAGACATATTATTTATTTATCACTCAAGATTAAAAAGAAGCTTGATAAAATGAACGAATTTCTTTTTTGTAATCACTTGATTAATGTTAGAACGAATTCGAGCTATCAGTTCATGAAAGTAGTATATGTTGATTGTTTATAATGGTCTTGCTTCTAATGTTAGTTGACGCCATGTCACCATTCCACTAATTGATTGATCAAAACGATAATATTCATTACCAGCGAAAGTTCAATTGCCAAAATATTTTTTCGGTGATTGATCCGGCAATTGTTTAATACCTGATCGACGCCATTAACAATTATTAAATCCACACGTTTTCGGTTCTACATATTGAAAACATATCGGACATTTTGTTGTCGCTTCATCACAATCTCGTACGAGATCGAATACTTTCATACCAATGCAGATCAGTACATGTGATCGGTTGTATGAATCAGAGTTAGGATTTGTACATGGGCCTTCAAGACAAATTCCGGGTATCATCCGTTTCCACAGCGGAGCGAGTGGATTCTATGCAAACTTTTTCAAACCATTTTTATTACTCATATCAACAAATGACGTGCCGAAGCCGCTCGCACTACCACCACATAAGGATGTGCTCAATTGACATATTGATCCATGGGTGATATCATAGTCATCTAATGTACGTTCAGTTTCAAGTTGTTTACCATTGAATTCAAGCTTTTGCATGCTAGCAGGAATTCCTTCTATGTTTTGTATTTTTCATTTAATCTCTTCAATCGTATTATCATGTTCTACTGGAATTAAAAGAGGTCTTCCCACTAAATTTTGGATGAAAATCTGCATTGTTTCACACTGGATTGAATCTATTCTAAAAAACAAAAATGTGATATGAAAAGTTTTGTCATTTGTAGCTCTCACAGCTATTTCTCCTATTCTATACTAATTTTCAGTCACCCTGATATCGATAATTTTGTGCAGTCGACCAATATTTTCGAAATTTGAGAATCTATTTTGTAAATTACAAAAATTTTTGAAAAGTTGCAATTCATAAAGCGTGATACAATTTTATGGAGAAAAAAAATTGAATCGATTTTTACCTTTTATGATGCAATGATTCTTTCTCAAAGTATGTGCTTAAAGTGGTGCATGTTTGATCGATTAATGTGTTTGTTTCCTTCGTTACTCAAATGGCATAGTTTATTTGCATTATATTTCTTGTGTAATACCCACACCCGCCCTGTGATATTTGGAGTTATGTTAATATTTTGAAAGTTTTGAACTTGTTTTTCACTGTCAGAACGAGATTTTGATCGAATAAAGTTTTTGCTTCGACTACACTGAATGCAACCCGGACAGAATTTTTTAATGAAAATAAAAGTTGTCAGAAATTTTTGGAATATTGATCTGAAGAATTGAAAAGCGGCGTTTATTGAAAACTTTTCTCGACTGTAAGAGACGGTGCCTCTTAGTGAGATCTGCCTGGGCTAGTTACAGCAGGGGACCATCTTCTTCCCAACCGTCAAAAATTTTCGTTTTCTTGCGTTCTGTATTGTACCCTTCCTTCAAAAAGGGGCTTGATCTCCAGTGATATTTCAACAACTTGGACTATCTTCTTCTCTCTCTCTCATTCTCGCTTCGAATCGAAGTGTACACTTATTACTTTATAGTGAATCTCACAAGAAAACATACTTCTTTCACATATTGCACATACAATAGATAGGGTAGCACAAAAGCAAACTGATCCACTTGAATGAATGCTCTCATTTATACAGCGAAAACTCGATACAGAACTAAAGAATAACTCACATTGTTGATTGTCAACGATGAATTTTTCCATCTGTCAAGAAACCGCTTTCAGGGTAATCTCTATGAGATTCAAATGTGAAATACGATGAAGCTGTCTCATATGAACATGAAAATATTTGTTATACTCTTCTCGATTTGTTTGAAGGTCAAGTAAGAATTATCTTCAAGTACTTGCGATGATCTATAATAAAATTTCACGATGAATCAAAATCAATCAAACTACTATAGAGAGATGATAGAAACATGTTCCTATATTGCACAAGATGAACATTCGAACATAAGTAACCACTAGGATTTTTTTCATACAAAATACTTTTTTCTAAATTCAATAGAAATATTCAAGAGAATCACAATTAATCAACAGTGAGTAAAATATTTTCATTTTTTCTGTCGTCTATGACTGTTTTTGTATGCCATTAACATAATTGTTTTTATTTTTTGCCTACGATAAGTTCAAAACATGAATTTTTCATTTATAATGCAAAAAACAGATGGATCACAGAGGATTCGATGATTGTTGGGTCTCTCTGGCAACATCACATAATAACCAATCTTATAACAGTTTTAAAAAAAGCCTCCGAGAATAAAATTAGAAGCATTGCTATTGAAAAAGTAAACGCTGTGATAAAAAAGAAGGTGTCAAGGAGAAAGAAGCGATGTTGTCATTGCGTTGAGAACGATATTCACGCAAGAAAAAAAAATGCAGCCTCTTAGTATCACACTTTAAAGAGTTTTATGTCAGTTTTTTCATTACTTTTTCATCAACGAGTGACACTATAGTTGAGAATAAAATTGTTCACGTTTATTCATTCTTTAACCGTGATACATTATTCCTGAATTATTGGTTATCTCGATCAATAAAGAAAGAAATATGATAATCACTGAATTGTTGTTGTTATTGCTGCTCCTACTGGTTGAACATCATGCAAGTGACCTGTTTCTTCAGTCAGACATTGAACTCAGCGATTGGGGCAAACAATTTCAATCAGTACATCCCATTGAATTGCTTGCCTCATTCTCCACATCATCTCTTCTCGACTGTGCCCAAAGTGAGTGACGTTTTGTTTTGATCTGATGTACATTTATACTCATGTTTAATGTCAATCTAACGTGTAGCATCAGTAAGATGCCAGTTTCATATTCTCATATTGCGCATTTCATATTTTTCCTCTATAAATAGAAATAGTTGTGAAGTTAATTAGCGACTCAATTGAGGAAAAAAAATCATTTTCTAAAGAGCATTGTTGAATATGGTGGAAACAAATAGAAGAGCTATTGGTGACGTTAATATGCCGCAGAGAAAATATAAATTGTTTCCGTGGGAGAACTACTCAATTTCGAGACTACAAAAGCACTGAAATTCAACGGACAGATTCACTATAATGTTCAGTTAGAGCTGAAATTTTCTGTGACATTTGCTTTCATTAAACAGCATGCAATTTCAATATTCTCTGTCGAACATTTGATTACGGCTCGTCAGCAAACATCTGTCGTCTGTTCGAGGGTGTGGTCAGTACAGGTTCAATCATCCCTTCAGTTTCAACCTCTCGTGTTGTTGCTCTACACTTTTCCTCGCAGTTCTTTGCTGCTTATGGTCAGCCTTGTTCTCAGTGTGAGCAACATCGATATTTGACATGTTCGAATGGAACATGCCGTTGTCCTTCACACTCATTCTGGAACGGAGCTCAATGTGAAAATCAACGGTATCTCGGAGCGTCATGCAGTCAACTGGACTCTTGTCGAAGTGATATACTCGGACTGCAATGTACAACGTACAACATCTGTTTAAGTAAGAGAGAAATACAA